AATCACTTGAAAAAGATAGAAATGGCTGGACTGCCTAGCAACTGTCTGGGGTGGGCCAATCTGCAACTGTTCTACTTTGGCTGGATCCATTTGTTCTCCCTCGGGTGACAGAACAAACCGCAAGAATAAAACTAACTGTGATGGAAGTCGCACTTCTCCACCTTGGCGAATAGACGATTCTCCAGCAACCAATGAAGCACTTTTCTGTGCTGGACATGTTCCTGTTCATTCTGGAAAAGAAAAAAAAATCGGAATATCATCAAGGCAAACAAACACAAAGCGATTTGCCATATCCTTAAGCACGTCATTGACAAGTACCTTAAAGACCACCAGGGATTTGGAGAGCTTGACGAGGTAACCAAAATGACCAGGAGGAGTGTTAAAGGGGGTCTTTCATTCGCCCCCCTCCATAATCTGGTTAGGTGGTGGCCATTGTGGAAGTCTAGTTAGGTAAAGATAGTAGCTCCCTGCAGGAGTTCAAAAGCTGATGATACCAACGGCAATGGATAATGGTTCTTTACAGTGATGTCATTCAACCCCCAATAATCAATGCCGGGATGCAACTATCCATCCTTCTTCTCCACAAAAAGAACCCCACCCCAGCTGGAGAGGAAGAAAGACGTATAATATCTACTGCTAGAGATTTGTTGGTCTACTTCTCCATGGCCTCCCTCACAAGTTTAGACAGATAGTATATGCCCTCTAGGTTGAGAGGTGCCAGGTAATACATCAGTATCGCAGTGGGTTACTATAGCCAAATGAGTGCCGCAAAGTGTTTTGGCTTAAACGGGTTTAGCCAGGACTACCAAAGACACCCCCCAGCCACTTGATCAAGTCTGACTCCATAAAGTCCCCTTCGACACCCAAATTGATTAAGGCAGACGCCTGATAACCAGAACCCTTAACATTCAACCATGTTTAGAGAGATGCCTGGCTCCCCAACAGTGTTTGTGTATTCGTGGTGCTCACACCAATCGGATATTAAACGGCTTATGCTGCACTCCGCTAGTGCACGAGGCCACCTGATACCCCGCCTCCAAGCAGTAGAGACAGATGTGGTTAGAGATGCAGAAATATTGCTAGGTAGCCTACACGTGAGCTTTTCTGACCTGCATTGTCACCTTCTCTGTAAAACCAGAGTATTGTGACATGAGCACATCAACCATGCTGCCGTTCCTGGATGAAACATTGTTGTTGACTCCACCTCTGCGATGACACACCCAGAAAACAATCCGGTTAGCAACATGGATGGCAAGATCAATGAGCTCATAAAGATTGGATGCCAGTTAATCTCATCCTTAAGGTACTCCGCCAAGCTGTAAAGAAAGTGGTCCCATTGTGGCTTGGCATCCCAGCCTTTGAAAGAGAACGTGAGGGAACACTGGGTCAGAAAGGAACAACAAAAGTGCATGTCGTGAATTGATCATCCCCTGTTCAAGAGTGGGAGCAGATGGAAGATTTGGGGGTGCGAGCTGCACCTGATTAAGGCACCAGCTTTTTGGATACCTCTGCAAATGCTTGGTGAGAGGCAGCAAGTTTCTACTGTTGTTGGTCCAGCAATGCACCCTATTGGGTGAGCGCTCTGTGGATGTTGACATCTTCTGCTGAGTCCATGCTTGGTTAGTATGTTTTGTAATGGGGTAAAAAAGAGTGAACTCAATTGCAGAAAAAAACTTTTATTTTATTCTATCGAAAATACAGTGTTCCTTTTTGAATTGAATTGTTTACTTGCTACGTCACTTCACTACATCACACTCACACTCAGGGCCGGAGTGGGACTCTTTTTCAGCCCTGGAGTTTCAAGCCTCAGACCGGCCCACCTCAGTTCACCACTGACTATATTAAAATAAGGTCATTTCCAATTCAGTTTCTAATTACACTATTACGTCTTTTTTTGAGAAAACAGCTCTTTTAGAACTTCAAATGTTCAACAACCCTTACAGTATTATGTCTTAACAATAAAAATGAAAAAAAAAAAATTGTTACTCAGACAAGGACCGAACCCAGGTTGGCCACATCATAAATTAACATACTAACCACTGTACCACAACAGCTGTATGATGAATGGTGACTTATCTAGTTATATCATCATTAACCTGCAGGCTGCATCCTGCTCACGAGGCTACGAGAAAATAGATAAAAAGAGCAGAGCTGCGGTAAAATAATGAATGAGAAGGCTGTGGTCAAGTAAATAAATAAATTATTTTTAAAAAGTGTGACTGCTGAGAGCAACAGATTCTGGAACTAGGGACACCGGCCCTCGCGGCCAAAAAACGGACCGGCCCACCGGGAATTCTCCCTGTCCTCCCGATTAGCCAATCCGGGCCTGCTCACACTCTAGTTTACTGCTGGAAAACCAGTCAGAGCACTCTCTTCAGCCGATGGTCTACGCCAGTTCAATATGCTTAATCTGGCCAACAAGCTCTGATGTTAACCTGACGAGAGGCAACACGTTTGCTTATTAAGGGATTTTTATTAAAAAATTGCCATTTCTGTCATTCTTTTTTCATGCATTATTTAGACAATAAATAGACAATAAAATAGACAATAAAACAGACGATAACACAGGCTGATGGAAACTACTGTGCTCAGAGAACAAACACTCTTTGTTGTGTTTGTGTGAATTAACTTCTAAACAGGGGCGCCCCCAAGGGGTGGCCAGGGGTGGCCACGGCCACCCTTGTGTAAAGTCTGGCCACCCCTGTGGCCACCCCAATATGATTGTTGCTGATATTATTAATTTAAATGTATTTACTTAAATTCACAATACTTCAATAAATAAATGAATAAATAAAATGCAGCCACTAAATTATTGTGGATTGATCAGCGCCACTGACGAAGCTGATTCACTGAGATTGCACACTTTTTATTAAGAAATTATTATTTTTGAAATGAGAAAGTTGTGTTTCATCTGATTGAAAACCACAAATCCAAAATAAATAACTAGATGCATTTTGAAATCTGCTTTTCAAAATTTGGTTGGGTTTTGTTTGGTTTATTAATTCATTCATTAATCATATTTATTATTCATAATTCATTAATGTTAGACATGGCATATATTGTATGTTGTACAAGAAATAACTTACCTGAAAGAGGTTTTAGACTAAATATTGATTTTTATTTGGTTTGCACTTGTACTTGCGGAATAAATTACAATATTTCAAGAGTAATTATTGGAATTCATTAAAACTTCATTATTTATTTTACCAAAAACAAAAATAAAACATTACTCCTTATTCACAATATATACACAATTCATAATTTTTTGTGTGCCACCCCAAGATTTGTTGTGGCCTTACTTGGCCACCCCTAAGAAAATTTTCTGGGGGCGCCACTGCTTCTAAATTATATATACTGAATATATATCTGAACTTTTATACTGAATGTGATCTTCCTTTCTACATCTCTTCATGATAAGAATCCTGATTGACATTTGAGTGGAAGTGGCTAATGAGAAAGGAAGTACAGAAAGCATATTCAACAATCACATTCAGAATGCCACCAGATATAACAAATTAAGCTTTAACTCAGAGGCCAGGCATGAGCCGGAGGTTCTCATCAACAACAGACCTGACATTATTGGCCAGCCCTTCCATGACTGGACAATTCAATGATCTGGTCAGCGGGTTAAAAGAGGAAACACCCGCTAAAATCAATACTCATGCATGTTTGAAAGGTGCATCTATTATGTAGCTTGTATGGTTTTTAAATGCGAAGACAGTTACTTTGTAAGCTATTTCAAAGCCAAGAGCGCAGACAAACAAAAATATTCTGACCCATCATTCCCCCACCTGTCTATAATAGGATTTCATATCTCCCATTCTGGAGCGAGGAATGTAAACCACACTCTGCTGTCCACTGGACCATTACTGGGATTTCAAGCATGAGAAAAATCATGCAGCCAGCTTAAAGAGATAGTTCATCCAAAAATGAAAATCCTGGCAATATTTACTCACCTTCATGAATTCAAAAGCATATGCTGCTACATGCTACATTATTTTGTTCATATTTAAAGAATCTTTATGAATGTTTTGTAATATAATTAAAAGTAAAACTGTAAAATTGCTTAAACATGCTATTGCACTATAAAATAAGTGTTCAAAAGTAGTTTATCATTTAATTTAATAATTTATTTAAGTGATTTTAATGATGAATTTTCAGCTTCATTACTTCAGTCTTCAGAGTCATAATATCCTTCAGAAATCACACAACAACAACAACAACAACAACAACAACAACATTATTATTATTATTATTATTATTATTATTATTATTAATAATAATAATAATAATAATAATAATAATAATTATTATTATTATTATTATTTTTATTATTATTATTATTATTATTATTACTACTTACTGTTATTCCAGTCAAACTAAAAGTATTATTAAGACCTTTTCCGGAAGAAACAATTTTATAGTAAATACTTCAAACATGTCCTTGCTCTGTTAAACCTCAATTGACAAATAATGGTAAAAGAATACAAATTTCACTGGGAGGGCAACAATTTTTGCCTTCTATTTTAAACATTTCTTAAATTATGTTTAACAGCAAAGACATTTTAACAGTATGTCTGATAATATTTTATATTCTGGAGAAAGTCTTTTTTGTTTTATTTTGGCTAGGATAAAAGCAGTTTTTATTTTTTTAAAAACATTTTAAGGTCAAAATTATTAGCCTCTTTAAGCTATTTATTTTTTGATAGTCTACAGAATAAGCCATCATTGTACAATAACTTGCGTAATTTCCCTAATCTGCATAGTTAACCTAATGAACCTAGTTAAGCCTTTAAATATCACTTTAAGCTGTATAGAAGTGTCTTCAAAAACATCTAGTAAAATAATATTTACTGTCATCATGGCAAAGATAAAATAATCCATTATTGATTATGAGTTATTAAAACTTGTATGTTTAGAAATGTGCTGAAAAAATCTTCTGTCCGTTAAACAGAAATTGGGTAAAAAATAAACAGGGGGCTAATAATTCAGGGGGGGCTAATAATTCAGACTTGACATTACCTTTTTTGATCACCAGCCACTGTGGCTATAGATTTCCGACATTACTAGCCACTCACCATTTTCACTAGCTACAATTTTCTTGTTGGGAAAATATATTTTGCTTAAATTTGACTTTGAGATGCTAAATTATTTGATTTAAATATTGCGTTATGTCCACATGCCTTCTCATTCATTTAACTTCTTGTGTGTATTAGTTTGCTCAGTATGCATGAGCAAATGGGTTGTGTCACAATGCAATTAGTTTTTATTTCACAACATGTATATATAAATTTATTAGAATAATATTAGAAAAATTCTGAATGATTCAACGATAACGTAATTTTCATTCTTCTTATCATTAAAAAATATCTGTGTAAAATTATGAATTCCTTTGATGTAAGACAACAAAAAACATAACCGTTAAAATGACAAAACAGATTAATGTGTTAAATAAGTGCAATGAAAATAAAGTGCAAAAAAAATATGTGTGAGAATAACACATTTTATGTTTGAATATCTATTATGCTTACAAATGAGATGCTGAGTGAGGTGAGTAAACAATGATGATGAATCCCCTAGCAAACACGCTAGAAGCAAGATGCAAAAGAGAAGAAGAAGTAAACAAGAAGTAGAGAAGAGAGGTGCAAGAGAGGGAAGATTAAAGAGAGTTTGGACAGAAGGGAACCGAGTTTATAAGAGGGAGGGGAAAAGATACGGTCAGGAGAGAGAGAGGCCAGACTGATGCTGAAGAGGGAAAATAAGCCGTTCTGCTTCATTTGTGCCAGCATTACCTGAGCAGCACACGAGCAACCCATTCCACGAAAGAGAGAGATCTGTGAAAAACCAAAAGCCATATATAGATAAAGTGACTGGGAGAGGGATGGAAAGAGAGAGAGAGGGAGATGAGGAGACAGATATAGGTGGGGTACAAAGTGGTTGTGAGTGAGTCCAAACAGGTCACTTTCTATCCTGTCGTTTTATTAGCAGCTAGTCACAGAGACTCAGTCAAGCGGATCTTTTCAGGGGCCCGTCGGGACCGTGAGCAGCTCTGACAGAGAGAAATCACAGGTGGACCCCGATCAGACCTGCCAGAGATTAGCATGTCTCCAGCAAGACGAGAACGAGTGGCTCCTCTGGTCCATTTGTCCTCAACTGAAGTGATAATTTTTCTAATTAACCTTAAGAGCAACATTTGATGTCCAGTCCTGTTGTTTAAGAGCAGAGGGAAACTCACAGCTAGACCTATATGGCAGTAAATCAACTTTTTTTGTTGTGATTAATTGCTGAAGCGATATGCTGTATTTTTGAGCTATGCTGCTGAAAAGGAGTTCAGAAGTAATGTCAACCAAATTAAACTGTAAAAAGGATTATAAGTACAATAGGTAACACTTTACAATAAAACTTCATAATTAATCGTTAGTTAAAGGTGCAATATGTAAGTTTGACACCCAATAATTGAACTAGGTATTGCACTCTAGGATCAAAACAAACACAAGAGCAGGTTGCCAGATTGAGGACAGGAGCTAGTGATTTAAACCAAATTTTAAATAAAAGCAACGGCAGACAGAAGATAGAAGAAAATCTTTCCATTATAAAAGAAGTTTTTGTCCAAACCAACACCAACATGCAGTATGTTTTAATTGTTATTTATGTGATGTAGATTTCATGTTTAGTATTCAATTCAATTCAATTCAGCTTTATTTGTATAGCGCTTTTACAATGTAGACTGTGCCAAAGCAGCTTCACATAAATGGTCACAGCAACTGGAACAGTGTGGTTCAGGTTTCAGTGCCCAAGTTCAGTTCAGTTCAGTTTAGCTCAGTTCAGTGTGATCTAATCACCACTGAGAGTTCAAACACTGAAGAGCCAATTCATCGATGCGCACCTCCACCAATCCTGAACCACGCGAGGCAGTGGCGACAGTGGAGAGGGAAAAAAAAAAACTTCACCTGAGTATTGATTATTATTGATTGTGTTCAGCACTTTGGGCAACGTTGTGTTGTAAAAAATGTGCTACAGTATATAAATAAACTAAACTAAACTAAACTAAACTAAACTAAACCTCAAATTGATATATTAAAACAGCTTCTATTTCTCACAGGTAAACAACAGAAAACTGACAATGACCACCTCAGGTAAACCTCATGTGCTTTATTCAGTGTTAAATGCTAACAATCTGAGTTTGAATGCCATTTTACATGACATTTATTGCCATATACTGAAAGTAACAGCAGATAGTTCACCTCAGATCTTGACAATAAAATAAACCGTTTGAAAATTGAACTTTAGAACTAAACACGTGATTCAGCATGTACAATTAATAATGTTAAAGAGATTTAATATGTATTTAATAGATTATAAACCTTACCATTTGGTGAGTGAGTGCATAATCTGTGCTTCTGAATGGCTGTATTTAAATTTCTGTCATGGTTCATCTGGTGCAAACAGCCAAGTTGCTTATCTCGCCATGAAGTGTGTTGCCTGGACATGTGGTTACAATATAACCTGGTCACTTAATGTTTACGTTAGTAATATTTATATCATTTGCTAAATAAAAACCTCAAGCGGAATTCTGAATCGGCTTCTTTTAAGAGTCTGCATCTGTCCACCAGAGGTCGCATTTTGGTCACAGACGTATACTTTGAGAACCGTTTTGAATTAAAGAAATATGCGGGCTGCGTCTGAAATCGCATACTTCCATACTATATAGTATGCTTAAATCAGTATCCGAGCCGAGTAGTATGTCCGAATTTGTAGAATTCGAAAATCAGTATGCAAGAAGTACCCGGATGACTTACGAGATTTTGAAGTGCGCATACCATGAGTACTAAATAAACATGAGAAATGAACAAAATCTAGATTAATTAAAGCTTTTGTAGTTTTCATCAAGAGTTTAGTTTAACAAATAGAGATTTTTTATAATGAACAATAGTCCAATAAAAAGTCAAAAACTAAAGAACATTTCTGCAGCTTTAAATTTTTTTGTTGAATAAAATTAACTTTTTAAGTCATCTTAACTTACTTTAAACAAACTTATTAAACTATTGAAATATTAAGTTAAACTTTGTATAGCTTAAGAAATTTAGTGATTAACTTATTAAAATAAGTTAAAGCAATACAAAAATATTTGTTGTCTTGACTTTTTGTTCATTACATTTTTTTAATAGTGTATAATTTTCAATCAATATTTCAGCATAATAGACCAGATTACTATTATGGAATGTTCAAGTTTGAAAATGAACATGCTATTAAGTCTCCAAGCATTTTGTGCAGTGATAAACAACCACTAATACAAAAGTGTGAATATTTTTAAAAGACAATCTAAAAGTTTGATTAATGAATAATTGTTCATGGTATTTCAAAGTGCCCATGATATGAATATTTTACATGTTCATTATCATGATATTTTGAAAAACTGAATATCAGCACGTCTACTCTACTCTAAAAAAACTGCGAGAGTTTTTCTCCTCAGTTCAGCAGACGACGCTAATGGATGTGTGCTGGAGATGGTCAAAGAGGGCTGATTTTTGGATGAGATCCATGTTTCAGCAGGAATGCATCATCCTTCAAAATAGCCAGAAAAAGAGAAGTATTGATTTAACACTAGATCTATGCTCTCTGCGCAGGGCAGTTACTGGCCAGATCATATAGGAGCATCAAAAAAGTTTTCTCTGAGAAAGTGTTGTCAAAACTCTCTAGGGTATAACGGTGTGTATTTTACATTGCTGTGGACTATTTTACATCACTGCTATTCTGAATATACCAAGAAATGTGTGAAATACAAAATGCTATTTAAAACAATAAGTCATAAGAACTTTTTTATGATAAATGTATTTTCTCTCCTAGTATATCCAAGTAAACTGGCTGCACATGAATGAATGAAAGCTTGATTTTGTCCATTGGCTGATAGATTGGATTTTTGTGATTTGCTGTTGGTTGATCTCATATGATTGACAAGTGGTCCCACCCTCAAGCTACAGTACTAAACACATCATGCGAGATGAAAATAGACAGCGTTGAGACAGTTAGGAGAGATCATTTTGATCAAAGATTATGGCATCAATTTAATTATGCTAATAACTAGTATGGATAAATCCTTTACACTGTGAACCCAGCTGTTGTCATTACTAAATATATTAAGTTAATATAACTTGACATTACGTAAAATACCAAGTTTTGGCATCAAAACTTGAACAGGTGTATTTAACTTACTCATTAGGCAGTAAAAAACTTTCATTCATATTTTAAGTTCTCTGAATTTAACATTTTATTGTCTTTAAACTATTCACCAAGTCTCTGTTTAAAATGATTGGTTGTGCTTGAAATTCTGCCCTGACAACTGTACTGATTGGTCGATATACATATGACACAAGGTGGTCATTTTGGTTGTGATGCTGAATTTTGTTGAAGTACAGCACAGAGGCGCTACCTGAACCCATCTGACAAAAGAGAAAAGTTAAACTAAGTTCCTGACAGCAAGAAGGTCACTGGTTCGACTGGGCTCATTGGCATTTCTGAAAGGAGTTTGCATGTTCTCCCTGTGTTTGTGTGGGTTTCCTCCAGGTGCTCCGGTTTCCGCCACTGTTCAAAGACATGCACTGTAGGTGAATTGGGTAAGTGTATGTGTGTATGTTCTGATCCTCCAGGTTGAGTGTTGGACTAACAACTCACCTCATAAAAATGACGTTAAGAAACACCAACATGGTGTGGCTAAATATCAACTTTAATATAAACGGCCCAGGGAGTAAGTGAGTAAAGAATATAAAAGCTGAAAAATTTGAAAGTCTATTAGCCATTGTAAGTTATCTGTATTTAAACATTTAAGTTAATTCAATGAAAAGACCACATTTGGTCAACTCAGTTAATTGAGTTGTTGATTTCCCAAAACTCAACTGAGGGAATCACTTTCCTCAAATCATTTGAGTAGTGTCAACTTATTAGGGTTTACAGCGTACTGCACTGGAAAGTACAAAACAAGTACAAAACAATACCTTTTTGCGTTTTTTTTTTCTTCCAAAAACAGATAAAATGAAATAAATAAAATAAACTCATCTATAAAATGGTTTTGCAACAATAAATAATGACATTTAATAGTGACATTTCATTTTCTATTTTGTCACTCAGGTCACAGATATTGTTAATAATGCTTAATAATGCTAATGAACGCAATCTTCTGCAAGTTTGTTTAGACCTAAATACACTAACCAAGATTTTTCACAACCAAGAGTGACAGTTGTACAGAATTCATTAGCATATTTGAATAAATGCTCAGCAGAAAATAGTAAAGCTTATTTGTTAATGAATGATGCTCTACTTTTCCATAAAAGTGACCTAAATTAAAAAGTACATTTGCTATAAAAGTAGCTTTATTAACAGCACTGCTCAATAATGCTGTCTTCTTCTCTGAAATTATATTCTCACTGCTCGTGTAGATGGACACAGACAATTAAGTGATGATAAAGACATTTTTTTCTAAATTCGATCAAATCCCAAACTTGCTACATGTGCCGTCTTATGCTGTATATCCAAAACATCCAATCCTGGGGCTAGCAGTGCACACTTAGTCACAAAAAATGTCTCGAATAGAAAATCCAAGTGGATCTCCCCAAGCCAGAAGAGGTTCATGGTTTCGATTAACAGTGTTGAGCTCTGTAGGCATCTGGCTGGAGAGCAGGAATTTATGAATTTAATGCCAGTTCTGTTCTTCTTCTTCTTCTTGCAGGGGGTTAGTGCTTTCCAAACGGCTTCAGGCTACAGGTTCTTCATGTCTTTGTCAAATGGCTTAAACTTGTTTCTCTCTCTCATTTCTCACCAAGTTTAATCTTGACTCCAAGCTGGCTGATATGATAACACATCTAAACTGGGTCAAGGACTAAAGTCATTCAGTCGTAATTACAACACTTGTTGATGCCACCAATAAACAAGCGCTCACTGATACAGACCCTGCTTAGGATTTACAAAATGTGACGCTTCACTTATTTTACTTCAGTAATCTCACATCGCGATCAAACACAGGTTATTAAAAAGACGATGAGAGCTGTCTCAATAGGAATTACGGGTTTCAACAAATTCAATAAGCTAAAAATCATGTTTATATAGTTCAATAAAACATCAAAATAATCTGGGGTGATCATATGTCCTCTTTTTTCTAGACAGTTCCTTTTTAAAACCAAAAATAATATAACAATAATAAAAATAAAGTAAGATAAGTTAAGATGGATCATTGATAGTTGAATAGATAAGTGAAGTTTCCCAAAATAATTTTGAGAGGAGCACGTGATAGAATTGACTACAGCTGATCCTTATCACTAATCACTAACTAGCCAATCGGATCACTCTAAATTCAATATAAATATCCAGCCTAAACTTCATTCGTCATCTTCGTTTTTGGAAAACCCCCCCATCCTTCCCTTCTCCCTCCTCCTCAGTTCGGGCGTCACGGCGGCTCGGTGGCTAGCACTGTTGCCTCACAGCAATTAGGTCATTGGTTCAACACTAGCTGAGCCAACCGATACTCTCTATGCGGAGTTTGCATGTTCTCCCCGTGTTCGCGTGGGTTTTCTCCGGGTACTCCGGTTTCCTCCCACACCCCAAAACCATGCAAAGTTAAAGTCACAAGCACATACTACAAATTAGCGCCAATAGTGATTTATTTTGGGAGCTATCGAGAACTACCTGATCTCATATCCCTCCTAATGCTTATTGACCAGGCGGGAGCCTTGGGCTCATCTATCACCGAGCTCAGGGTTCTCTCCCGGGACAGCATGCCAAACTAGCTTAAATAGTCAAGCACTATCTAAATGTGAACTCTTGAAAGGCCTACAAGGCACATTTACATTTCTCTATGGTTGAAACACTTATTCAGAAATAACACAAGATGTAATGAGAGAATTTTCAGGATATTTCTTTCAACAAATCTTTTAGTGTTCATTCATGTTTTAATCTTGACATAATTTTAATAAATTGCTTATGTGCCCACCGTAAACACTTCGGTCAATGCTCTCTCACTTACCTAAGATCCAGCCTTCGCTCACGGCAAGCTGATAATATGAATGTAAGGTGCTGCTTGTCAAAATATACGGCATGATTGGCTACTTTTGTTGCTATTGATTAGGCTATTGTTGAGTACAACACCATCAGTTATTCCACTGTCAACACACACACACACACACACACACACACACACACACACACACACACACACACACACACACACACACACACACACACACACACACACACACACACACACACACACACACACACACACACACACACACACACACACACACACTTTAATAAGCTCAGTTACAACAAATGATATATCTAAATAAATAATGCCACATTTTATTGTTAGTAATGGTAACAGTTGAAACAGCTATTTGTTTGCTTATGCATTACAAAAGAAATATTATAAAATATATATAAAAATAAAACTGTATATTTATAACAGTTATTCCCATCACTGTTACTTGAAGTTCCCGAGGAAACATTCAGAGCTAATTTCAATAATGTAATGACTTTTCTTTCATTTTTATTTCCAACATATACTGTAAGCAGCAGAACAACAGTCTGACCAATCAGAGTCAATATCCTCTCAGATAATACAGGCATAGAGAGACAGGAATCCTGAATTGTTTCAGGCAGTGTTTTGTTTATTTATTTATTGTTTTTTATTTATTATTTATTATTTATTTATTTTATTTATAAACCACACTGTAGGAGATCAAAACAAAACAAAGGATCTTTAAAATAGCATAATAGGGACTCTGAGTTTAATATGCTTGATATAAATTAAGTCTTTCGAATGTAAAAGATTTGGACAAATATTGTACAATTTGTTTTGTCTGCTCAATGGCTAAATACTAGTAATGTAGAGATAAATTCAACAGTAATTGTAATGTTGGTTCAATAACGTTACCCTCCTCTTTTTCTAAGAAACAACACTTTTGCAAGAAATTCACCTTACATCTTGTGTAATATTGCATGATGAAAACGCTATAAAATACAGCAGCGGTCTTCTACAGTTTCTGACCTGCGATTAGTGTGTTTTTGAGCAGTATGTACAGCCCAGAGCTCTTTCAAGAGAAACCGATTTTCATGCTGATGTGTGATGTTGGATTCTCTCTAGTGAACATATTGGCTCATGCATCACCTGCTCTCCGCTGCTGACAAGCCTCACTGATAGTGGAGAGTGAGAATCCAGAGATTCCTCTAATAAATAAACAAATTTACCAGCGTTACTCTCTCCTCCAAAGCTTCAGGCATCACAGTGCATGGCAACATATGCCATCAGCATAAAAAAAAATTGATGTAGTTCATTCAACATTACTGGCACCCTACCGATTTTAAGATTACCTCAAACACACACACACACAAAAAAACCCCACTAGTTTAATTAGAGCTTCTATTAAGATTTATCAGAATGCCTCATAATCTTGGTACATTACAGCAATAAGCTTGTATCATAACATTTTATGATAAGATATTATGCATGTTATATACATCAATACAGTATATCAGCTCCCTTCCTACTCTTCCCATCTAATAAAACGACAAATTAATGGGCAAAGATGGAAGGAAAGTATTCATTGTTACAAATGATCTGTTGTTATATTGTTTCTACAAAAACGATTACAGCTTCTTAGTATTAATGAGTATCTGCTAAAAATCCAATCAGCAAATTAGAATATTTTCTGAAGTATGAGCTGCTGAAAATGAAAGAAGTGCTAGTTTGTATGTATTTAATACTACACTGATCAAATGAATACTGCCTTGGTGAGCATAAGCTGTTTCTAAAAAAAGCATAAATATAATATTCAGTCACTTTCAGTTATCTGTTTATACTGTACATACAATAGATGTGTTGCATCAAGGTTATTTAATGCCAATGTGTTATATAGTGTGTGTCATTTCTTAATATACACTCACTGGCCACTTTTTTAGGTACACTACCTAGTTCGACCTCCTTTTGCCTTCAGATCTGCCTTAATACTTTTGAGATTTCGTTCCAAATTGACATGATAGCATGACGCAGTTGCTGCAGATTTGTCAGCTGCACATCCATGATGTGAATCTCCCATTACACCACATCCTAAAGGTGCTCTATTGAATTGAGCTCTGGTGACTGCGGAGGCCATTTGAGTACAGTGAACTCATTGTCATGGTTAGGAAACCAGTCTGAGACGATTTGTGCTTTATGACATGATACGTTATCCTGCTGACATTAGCCATCAGAAGGTGGGTATGCTGTGGTCATAAAGGGATGGACATGGCAGCAATAATCATAGAATAGAATAATCTTCTATTGCGTTATTTTGGTGAGCCTGTGTGAATTGTAGCCTCAGTTTCCTGTTCTAAGCTGACAGGAGTGGCACTCGGTGTGGGCTTCTGCTGCTGTAGCCCATCCGCCTCAACTTTGGACGTGTTGCGCGTTCAGAGATGCTCTTCTGCATATCTTGGTTGTAGCGAGTGATTTTTTGAGTTACTGTTGCCCTTCAATCAGCCCAAACCAGTCTAGTCATTCTCCCCTGACCTCTGGCATCAACAAGGCATTTGTGCCCACAGAACTGCCGCTCACTGGATATTTTCTCTTTTTCGGATCATTCTCTGTAAACCCTACAGATGGTTGTGTGTGAAACTTCAAGTAGATCAACAGTTTCTAAAATACTCAGACCAGCTCCTCTGGCACCAACAACCATTCCACAATCAAAGTCACTTAAATCACCTTTCTTTCCCATTATGATGATCGGTTTTAACTGCAGCAGATTGTCTTGACCATGTCTTGAGTTGCTGCCATGTGCTTGGCTGATTAGAAATTTGCGCTAATGAGCAGTTGGACAGGTGTCCCTAATAAAGTGGCCGGTGAGTGTAATTTATTATTCTCAACTGTATTCAGGTAATGCTCTTTAGAACTCAAATCAGTGTGAAGATCAGACCGAACAGCCTGCCGATTTCATTTTAAACATGAACATCTAGTTATTATTTAAGATACGGAACCTACACTTTAAAGCAGAAAGCTGAAATTAAAAGGAAGGAGTGATACATTATGGATATACGCTTCAAACTGATGTGATCTTTCCAGTATAAAAAAGTGATTTGGTCAAAGAAGGATTTCATATTTTCTGCGTCAAATATCATTACATTAAAGTCCTCATTAGCCATCATTACCGTTCAATTTTGCAGCACTGCTGATATTCACACGTTGAATATTAATGACATTACATTTGCATAAAATGCTGTGCAGGTATGGATATAAGCATACTTCTTCGATTCCACTAAGGCCGGGGTTTCCTGTCCACAGACGTCCAGTTTTGAGCTACGACTGCTGAAAAGCAAAAGAAATTGTGCTTTATTGAACTGGAGCTTGTCAGCATTTTCGGAGAGCTAGTAAAGTATAATTGTGTCATCCTTTACAAAGCAGTGTTGGGTTGACAGCAGCCACAGAAGCCTCATTACTCTGTGTTTTATAGGGCTGTTTGAGGATGGCAAGATCGTTTGGTGATGAATAATGTCTTTCTCACTGGGAGCTACAGTAAAACATACAACAGCACCGGCTCTGCCAAAGGTACATGGATCATCTCCAATGAGATCAAGTCCATGGAGGAATTATACAGGGTTTCCGTCTGACGCTCCTCGACATGCATGGCAGTGAGAGAGAGAGAGTGGATGAACAGGAAAATATTCTTATAGTCTCGTGTTGAGAGAATGACAGATGGATGGTTCGTGAAGAAATGAAACACAGCAACACCTGGATTAAAACCCCCAAGAAGCACACTGTGAATTGAAATACTGTAAATAATGTCCTTGAATTGAAAATCCACCTCAAAAAAGACATTCACTATGAATATCTTGGTGACTTGTTTCAGTTTAGCATCAATGGTTACCATTCCTTTAAATAATGATAGAAATAACAATAAAAAATTTAATTAAACATTATTCATAATGCTATTTCCTTTTATTTACAAACTCGACAAACAATCCTGCACATTCATGTTAGTGGAGCAGTTCACTTTAAAGTTATTATGACATAGACTTTTTTTTTCTCTGAGTTTATGAGACATCTCTCAGATCTTTGACTGGTTTTCTAAAAACTGTGTATCAAAAAAAGTGTATTTACCTTAGTATTGTGTGATAAAAAAAAAAAAAAACTTGCGAATACACACTTGCAATTGTAAGAACAATTTTTTTCTCTTTTAATTAATGACTAGACTTAGTCAGGATCATTTAATTCTGTCATGAAAACACTCTGATTTAGTAAGCCATGAATATGTATATGTTTAGCCTTGGCGATATAGATCTACTGCGCTGCTGCTGCTGTATGAGAATATAACACGCATTACATACAAGAAACCCTGTAGTAAATCTATACACAGGTGGAGCTGGGGTGGACTAGGGATCTGAAATGTAACTGCAGATTTCCAACACTAATGACACTGATAGTGTTGGGCCAACACAATCTCACGGCAATTCGTAACTTTTTAATTTAGTGGCTAATTCGTACAAATTAGTACGATCTAATTCGTACATTTTAGTACGATTTAGTATCCCCCAATGACGGTTGGGTTTAGGGGTGGGGTTAGGTGCCACGCCTCCTTTTTAAAATCGTACATTTTCTTTCGACTGAACTCATACGAATTCGTACGAATTAGCCACTAAACTGCCAAAACATAAAATACTTACGTTTTCTTGTGAGATCAGGCTGGTTGGGCAGTATAGCTCATCATTACAAATAGTGGGGCTACTAGCTTAACTAAATTTTTCAGTAGCGTGGCAGTAGCGTCGCTACATTCAAAATCAAATAGCTTTTCACTAGCAAAGCTATTTTTCTAGTCAAGTAGTGCAGTAGCATCCACACAAGCTACACTTACCGATCGCAGATCAATAAGTGACATGTATATATATATATATATATATATATATATATATATATATATATATATAGTTTACTGTACCTTAAGTATACTATGGTAATTACTATTAGTTCATGATAGTTACTAATGATACTACATTATGGTGTAATTCATTAATGAAGAGTTGTAAATGTTTATACACTATAATGCTTATCTTAAATTTTTCTCTTTACTATAAATTACTATTGTATTTTAAATGTGTAGCACCTGGTTTTATTCGATTTTTTGTTTGTTTTTGCTGTTATATACTATCATTTGTTCATTTGTTTCTGCTTAGTACAGCATATTATTTAGAGTAAATGACTGAAATGAACAGTTATGCCTCTTATGTTTCATCGCAGTTTTATTGATCACTAATAGATGATTACTTGGATTTAAGTTGCTTCGATTTAAAAAAGAAAATTGCAACAAAAAAAAGCTAGTTTTCCATGTTGCTTTTTCCTTAGCTAGCTATATTTCCCAGAGGGTTGCTTTTAGTGTAGTTAAGCTACATTTTAGAGTAGCTAATAGCTTAGCTTACAACATTTTTCAAGTAGCTTGCTCAAGTAGTGACAGCAACCCATCGCCTGAACCATTTAGTTTATGTATACAAGAATAAATTTACAAACTGAGAAATAAAGATATGATAATAACTAATCACAGTAAAAAAAGAATTCTGATTACAGCATTTAACAACACGACACCAGTGAACAATTCACTACTTTAACTCAATCCACAGAGAAGTGTCTTTGCTATGTCTCATACCTCGGTGGAGTTGTAAACAGGTCATATAAATCCAAAACAGGCTCATTTGACAGTTTAATGGAAGTCTTCATTAATAATCTCCAGGAAACACGTAGTAGTCTAAACCAAAAAAGAAAAAAACCAAGAGCGCTGGAACTTTATTAGATGATATTAAGGCTGGGAGCCACTCCTGAGACCCCCGACTTCAAATAATGTATTAAGTTTGAAACTTAATTTTGTATGCACAATTGAACGGGGAGGTCCCATGAGGAAGAATAGATTTAAGATCCACAGAATGGATATATGATGGGGATGGTTTTTAATATGAGCAAAGTTAAAGCATGATACAATTAAATAGAATGAAGCAGATCTTCCATTACTTCGCAGAAGGAACTGAGCTTTGGATATAAGATCCTTTTAAACTGATTTGCCCCAAAGTTTGCCTGAAACGACACTGGTTTTGATGGACAGATGATGCCAGTGAATTAGAGCATAATGAAATCTGAAGCAAAAATGAAAATGTCATATCGAAAAGAAAAATTATCCGATGAACACCGTTTTTGAAGCATCAAGACCTGTTATACAAGACATGATTTTAGGGCGAAAGGGATCAATGGAGCATTGTTAAGGAGGCCTACAGCATTATATATTGACTTAACGAACATCTGACAGTGAGTCTTAATTAAGCCAACACACACCGCTCTGCCTTAAGAACTGCCTCATGGCTTCTGTTAATTAACTCCAGCGATGCACCATCACTCAAAACCTGCACAAGTTTTGCTGCAGATCACTCATTCACACAAGTCTGTAAAGTAACAAATCCTTTCAGGATTTATGAACTGATTTATCTTTAATAGAAATCAAAAGATAAATTGGGATAATTAATAAAAGGCATATAATGATTCCTTTTAAACTGTCCGATTAATATCGTAATATATGTATTATTAACAAACCGTAAATCACCTCAGTCAGAGTTAATCTCCCCCATTCATTCAAATCATCCTGAAATAAATGTTTTAGTTTTTTCTTTTCTTTTGTGCTCCCACAGTCGTGTTTCTAGATTAATGAGCAAACTGAGTCTAATCTTGATTATGGCATCGTGAACTCCCATAATTCCTGCTTCCATTTCCTCTTTCACAGTCAGGAAAACTTATTTGGACTCTTCAATCTCCTGGCTGGTTCATGAACCCAACTGCACTGGAGCTACAAAGAGAGTCTGCGAGCATAAGCCCATTGGTGTGCGATTTCACTGGCGTCCTCCAATAGTTAATAGAGGCAGAAGGCAGAAATCATCAATCAAAAGCCAGGTCACCATTCATAGCCATCGCAGGACGGGCACTATATAACCGTATAGCTGCTAAACAGCACTAATTTCCCAGAATGAAATACGTGGCGGCCACAGCGGCCATTTGCAGGATTTGTATCGGAGGCCATATTTCAAGGTCATGCTTCGGCTTCTGCCTATTAAAGGCTGTTTGAAACATTGAAGGGCCAGTTTATGTCTCGCTGGCTTCTCACTGAGGTCTAATGCAGCGGCACGATGGTGGATGTAAAAAGCATGGAGTGATGAAAGAGGAGGGACAGGGAGGGAAAGAAATAATCGAAGGATAAGGAGGAGGGAAGGAGGTCCAGTTAAATGTGGATTAATGGACAATGGCCTTTTTCACTCTCAATGAGATTTGAGAAGCATTGGGATGTAAGTGTTGGTCAAATGAAAGAACAGATCAATTGATGCAGTGTAATATTTAAAACTTAATGCAAGATGTTAGCAAGATTAACATGTATTTACATTTGCTGACCCTCTTCTAGCTTTTGCAGGTTAATATAAGCCTTACACTGTAAGAAATTTTTCAGAAAGGTTTCACACAATTCATTCATGTTGTCCCCACACAATTCAGTTAATTGGTTTTGATAAATTTAAATGGATTAAAAATAAAGCAATAAAGTTGTTCCGAAAAAAGTCTCAAAATTCTAAATAAGCAGTTTACACTTTCTTTGAGTGTAGAAACATTGCATTGATAATATAGTGAGCAAATTTTATTCATGCATTGTTATTATACTAGTTGTAATTTAAATATTATAAAATATTATTATATAGCATATATATTTATATATGCAAACATGTAAATTCATTTGACATAATATAATATTTTTACATAATTTATTTAGCATTTTTTTGGGCCCCCCCCCCCAAAAAACAAACAAAAAAAAAAAACCAAAAAAAAACATGTATATTTACACAGAGAATGAACAGAAATGGATTTTCGTTTCTATAATAACTAAATACAAAATGTATTTACTATATTTAAAATAAATGGACGCATCAGTTTAAAAGGTGCATTATTCACTCAAGATGGTAAAGTAAAACTACATTTCAAGGTGAATGAAGAAAATAAATGAGCAAGGGGCTGAATCTGATGCCATTTTAACAATTTGTATAGAAAGAATTTGTTAAGTTTTACAGGCATTGAAGAGCATATAACAGCCACCGAGATGTTTGGGAAGATATTGTAGCACTATTTTATCAATGTCATCACATGCACCTGAGTGTATCAGAAACACGCCAGCATTTGCATGTGACTTTCTTTGTGGGCTGTGTATTGCAATGTTACAGAACAGTCTAGCTTTTAAAATCTTAGTACCTGGTTTTAGTCTAGGGGTGCCCAAACTTGGCCCTGGAGGGGCTGGTTACCTGGAGAGTTTAGCTCCAACCCTCATCAAACACACCTGAACAAGCTAATCAAGCTCTTACTAGATAACTTCCGGGCAAGTGTGTTGAAACAAGTTGGAGCTAAATTCTGCAGGAACACCGGTCCTCAGGACCAAATTTGGGGACCCCTGCTTTAGTCGATCGTTGAGGATATAAAATTATTCATACACTTCATGTTGCAAACTTCTTAATTCAGTCTAATGTTGATTTCTGATCAGATATGATTGTGTCCATTACTCTCATTCAATTTGTGCAGCGCTGAGGAAACTCAGGTAAACTAGTGGCAGGTGCTGCTCTTATTGGTAAATGATTGTCTAATTCTTCACATCATTTCTACTAATGCGTCTGTGGCTTAGGGTGAAGACATGAGATCAAAATGAGCCTCCTTTTTGTTTACCCCATCCATAACCGACTACAAATGGGGGGATAAACGTGGTGCTCAGCGTCAACGCTCATTTTCAAAATTTGAATGAAACTAGAGCGCCACCTCCTGGCGAACACCTGCAAGACTGCTGCCGTATGCAAACATATGGAGAAGTTCCACTCCACTCATTCCAGAGCAACTGTGCTCATTCATCCATACCTGAGAGCTGAAGTGTTTTAGCCCCTGCTGCCAGAATGACCCCTGCTCTTCTCTGAAGACTGATCACTGTCAGCATTCGGCTATGAGATTAAAACACGCCTCTGTAAAAGTTCCCCCGACTAAAGACAAAGGATAAGATAAACAAGTCATGGCACATTAAATACACAAAAATGGGTTTGTTTTCTATAGCACATTTGAATTAGACTGTACAATATTGCATGGTTTTTAAAGAACTAGAATGGCCATATGGTGGTTTATACCATACTGAACTATTTAGCTTCATTTAGCCTAACTGTTTTCCCGACTAGTAGCCTATGTTATTCACATTTATTCCTGGAATACAAATTGCTTTATGCAAGATGTAGTCTTTTTAAGTAAATGCATGGATTGTATACTGTAATCATTACCCCAAGCTAAATGCTGGACTTTTGCACATGGTCAGGATTTCTGTAAGTTTAATAAAGGTAAATGTAAGGCCTTTTAAAGCCATTTTAAGAATGAGTAAAAAATAATATATATTTGAAGGGAACACAATTTGAGTATGAATGAATAGAGAGCACACAATGAGTAGCATTAGTAATTCATTATAGTTTTTAATATTACTACTAATAAAATTGCATTATTATGACAACTGTGAAGCAAGAAGCAAAGATGTGCACACTAGTCTTGGTTTTAGAAAATTTTATCAAAATATATAAAAAGGATTTGATTAAAAATAAATACTTTCCTGTGGGCTTAATTCCAAATTAATAATATATAACCATTCAAAAGATGTTTTATCTTATTTGCAAAATCACACTTGATTGTAATTTCTCAGAAAACAACACACTATTTTATTATTTTACATGTGTTTAAGCATTTGAATTGAACATACGAGAGGAAGATCTGCACTGCTGCAACAGTTAATGTCTTGTCTTCATGAATTAAGATTTTCTGCTTTGATTTAAAACAATTTTTAAACCTAAATTTAATTGTTGAAGTGGAACCGTGCCAAACAAACAGGTTAAATTACACAAACTTGCCATTAGATTGAAACACTATACTGTTTTGTCCACTTTTGTAATATTGCTGAAGCATAAAACTGTTGTTAATGTATGCAGCAATTGATTCTGCACTATGGCAGTTTGTGGCAGTTTGGAAAAGTCAAGGTTTTGAAACCGCAAACATTTTCTTTTATAGCATTCCTAAAGTATATGTACTTTTTTAAAATGTGCTTTTTACTACTATTTCATTAGGATTTTTAGGGAAGCAGCAAATCAAAAGCTACTGTTTGAAAAGCAAGTCATTTATACACCACCATTCAATCCTAAAGACCTAAACAGGGCAGTGGCTTTACTTTATATCCATTAAAAAAAGCTATCCGAAGATGCCTTTTCAAGTTTCATAGTCAAAATAAGCCAATATATATATATATATATATATATATATATATATATATATATATATATATATATATATACATATATTAAAATAAAAATAAAATATATTGTGTTCAATGAAGGAAAAGATGTTGTTTTTAACCCAGAAATTTAAAAGAATTAATTAATATCGTAAAAACCATTATACTTTTTTCCAGGCTTATCATATCGTCAGAATCTTATACCGGCCCATGCCTAATCCAGGTCCAGACTCAACATTGCATATCTTGTGATGTGACAACTGTGAATGATCACACTGCAAGTACTCTTGATCTGGAAGGCTTCCATGTAAACTGACAAAATATCACTACAATACAGGCTATATAAAATGTAAAAGTGAAATCATAGCAGAAATCATAGTCATTTCTGTCCCAAGTACAGTAAGTATTTAACAAACATGTCCTCTTTTTAACTAAACAAACTTATATATATATATATATATATATATATATATATATATATATATATATATATATATATATATATATATATATATATATATATATATATATATATATATAAAACCAATTTGGATTTTTCTGTTTTCATCAAAATTTAATTTATAAAAATACATGGCTAATGTAGTCTTCAAATACCTTTATGTACACTGAAAAAAGTGTTGCATGCTGAACTGTTGCAAACAATTTATTTATGATGAATTTAAACAAACAAATTAAGTTTATTAATGTTCAACCTAATTTGTTTGCTTAAATTCAGCCCAAATAAATTGTTTACAACCACTTAACGTAAAAAAAATTTAGTAAATCCAAGGAATCATCTGTGAATATTTTTTTTTCAGTGTAGTGTATGGTTTGGTTAACTATAATAACCTTGCAAAGAAGTTCTAAATGAAGCAAGCAACTTCAGAAAATAGCAGCATCAAAAAGCCATTATACAGCTCTGAATGAGCTCTACAGCTGATAAAGGAAGGAGCCAGACTATAAACTCAGCCAAGCTAGTTTAATTCTGCCTTTTCCGCAATCATCAAAGAGCTCTCGAAGTCTTCCGGATTCAGTGCTGTGCTGTCTAATCCAGACATTTCCAAGACAGACTTGTTTTAACTTTGAATTATGACAGACTTGTCTTAACTTTAAAATAAGGGCATGGCTGAATCTGATCAAGTTACACAACCTGAACATCTTTTTAAAGACGCAAGAATCTTAATGTGCTTTATTTATTTGTATTTATTTATCGGATGATAGAAATACTTGTGTTGAATCTCATTCATGTCAGTTTATTATGTTTTTGTACTGAAAATACTGAAATGTTCCTGTTGGTTTACACATATTCAAGTCACTTGATAATAACACTGTAAACTATTACAAAGGCAAAGCCCATGATAGCTAGCAACCAGGTAAAGCATATGTACAGAAGTGATTTCAAGTGCATTTAATCTTGCAAAGCATAGATAACCTTTGCCCCCCTCTGGTTAGGCATTAAATATCTTCTCAAACCTAAATGAGGTATAAGGTCACAACGACACAACCAGTCACCAAACAATACCATCTCATTCATCTTTCATGATGAAGGCTGTTGTATAAGTTTATATAAAAAAAAAAAACAGAAAAAAAAAAAAAACAGGAGTTCAGTATGTGGCTGTACTTTTCTGCTCAGGCAAATTTTACAAAGCATGTGCAGTTAACTACTTACTGGAGTTTGTGCTTCAAGGTCACTTTCTATAAACAGTTTTGTTTGATGTTGATACAAGCTAAACTATGCATTGTTCTTTACGCTTCTACTTCCTGTTTGTGTGTAGTAGCTTCAAAGTAGCCTCAAAATGTGATCTCTAGACCTGGAAAAGTCATGTTAACTCCATGAACAATTTTATTGTGATACTATGATATTATATATTTAAAACTTTAGTTGTTGCATGATGTAGAAGTGTGAACATAAAAATTTAAAATGCTCAAAGTTCAATGCAAAGGGAGATATTAGGTTTTACAGAGTTAGCATAGCAAAGCCTACAGCGAACGAATTTGGGGACTAAAAAAAAATAATATATAAAAAATAAATCTGGGCTAGTGAGATAAGTTACGCGCATACACCCCACGAATTCATCCCACGCAGCGAAGGGACGTGGCCAGTGGTGCTGTAATGTTATAGCAGAAAAAGCTAATATGTAATTGCAGAGAAAGCTAAAAGTGTCCTTTGGAAGCTCCGTGTTTGAGCTTCCAAAGGACACAACACAAAGAGAGAAGTGCTCACAATTTTATTTTATTTATGTTCTAGAGAATTATAATAAAAATATAACTGACAAAGGAAAGCTTACAGAATCTCTACCTTGCAGTTCAGGGCTAGAATTGGCTAAAAACTCCACCAATCATAATAGAAGAAGCTGTGGATTGTGAGCCACAACTTGTAAGTATTTTTATTTGTTAAGATTGATCTATTACATGCAAAGTGTCTAGCGTTAATGGTATGTTGTGGAAGGGCGTAAACAAGGATGTAAACAACGGGAAATGCTGTTTGGCACTGCTAACAATTTAGCTACAAATTTTACAGATTTTATTCTATGGCTCAATGACTAAGACTTCAAGGTTGTTATTGAATATGATCCTGCCGTCCACCTCTTTACTGCAGTCAGGATGTCTCAGTACGTCAAGCACTTCTTTCTTCAAACGTTCAGGAGCATTTTTACTGAACTCTTTCACCTCTGTTAGGAAATCTAAAAGCAGTTCTCCCTCCTGGTCTCCTTCAGTGAAGCATTCTGTGATGTCCATCTGGGACAGAAGCAAATATTTATGGTACGGGATGCCCTCAGAATCTAAAAAGCTCTTTATTTCTCCTGTAGTGACACACTGGCTCATCTCAGTGTAACAGAGCTGCTTTCGAAATGTGGTCCATAATTTGCCCCACCCGCTCTCACCTATGAAAAAAAAAACAACAGAAACAAAGGAACAAAGATATTTACTTGTGCTTTTAGACCCCAAGGTATTTCCCTACAAATATGAAACACAGCGAATATTTAATCAGTGGTTTTTGAATGAATTTAGATTTTTGATTTATTTCCAAGGCTAATTATTAGAACCACCAAAAAAGTATAACGTTATAAGCTACATTTCACGTCATCCCTGTTATAAACAGCACATAAAAATGTATTTTCTAAGATTGTAAAAAATACAGATGTTATGTCTAAGGATCTGAGGTTGCATTGTCTTGTGGGAAACTCTAAAATTAATAAAAAACAAACTTTATGGACATTTTATTGACTATAATTTTTTTCTAATAATTACAAATAAGGGATCAGGTTAACATCATCGGTTAAAAATCCTTATCATTAATCCCTATCCAGAAAATTTCAAGGAAGCTTTAAGATTGTAGGTAAAGTGAGAATCACTGCATATTACTGGGAAACCCAAAACATTTTAAAGACAGAATTATTAATAATTTCTCAGTAAATGTATATTCAATGTTTTTGGATTGAAATTTGATTGATTTTTTACACTTACTCAATAGTCTTTGAATCTGGGTATTAGTGAGCTAAACCTATTAGTCAAAGTCCACTTGATTTTTAACAGTCAACTTCCAATGTATAATGTTGCTGATGAGCATGACGGTTAAATAAAGTTGCACTAAAACAGGAGGTTATTCTTATCAGTAAGCACTTTGTATAAGTAAGCACTGTTTCTAAAATCTTTGATCAACTCCTTGATTGCAAATTTTTTTTGTGGGTCGTACATGACTAGGGCATACCTGTCAACCTTCCCATTTTTCACAGTTCTATCCTGCTTTCATCCCATAAAGGTATCGTAAAGGTATTGCTCTTAAACGTGAATCTGTTCTGTGCTTTCGTTTTATTTAGGCAGGAAAACATTTTGAAATAAGTATAAAAAAGGATGGATATTCTTCCTTTCCATTACAGGCGCCGTTACCCCTTCTATGCAATACTCACAACAGTCAGTTCATGTAGCATGACTGTCAGCTGACGCGCTAGTGATACATAGACGCTGTTTCCCAAGTGGATTCTGTACATGTGATTTGAAGCGGAGCAAAAGCACCTCTGGGTTTTGGGTGCGTGTCTGAACGGTTTGACCAGACATTTAGACATAACTAGTAATAATATTAATAATAATATCTAAAGATGACAATTTTGACTAATTTTGTCTTAAATGAGCATTTGAGAAACAGTTGAGAAACTAAACGGTTACTTATATCATTATAATGTTAGATGTGTGCATTTTTAAAGTGACACCATGTTATTTAATGTAAATAAAACAAAAATCTAAATTAGAGATGCATTTGTTGTTCTTTAATAGGAATGTTCAAGTTATACAGTGAAGAAAAGATTAATGAGATTTAATACCTTGATTTTATTTCTTTACAATAGCTATTCATTTTAATTCTTAAAACTGTTTGCTAATTTATTTGCAGCTTTTTCTAATGTATACTATTTGTTTTATCCTTTGTAAATAATAATAATAATTAAACGCATGACTGGCCGTTTAACTGTTTATTCACACCGAAACAGCTCCAAATTTTAGTTATTGTAATGTAATATTTAATGGCATATCCTTTATTTTCACAATCCAATATTGACATGTATGGACAAGGGTATTTGTAAGATGAGGCTTGGTTAAATAGTGAGTTACTTTGGTAATTTGTGTTATCTCCCAAATCCGAGAGATGCTTTCTCACAGATAAAATATAGTAATGCACATGCAAACGTTTTCCCCATTCATTTACATTCACATACAAATGCAACATTAAATGACTTTGTTTTTTGTGTTTTTGACAGCTGATGCAAAAAAACCCTTTGTTTATTATAAAGTGCTTTCTGTGCGAGTGCTTCCAGTCTGTGTGCTCTAGAAATAATGTTTCATTTTGTTTCATTTTAATGTTTCAGGGGTTTAAACTGAAAGGCTTTAAAACACATGCAGATATGCGAGTAACCAAGGCACGAGCTGTAAAGGCGAGGGGCGGCAGCTTATGTGCTTTTTAAGAAACACAAAAAGTGTGATTTTGTTTCCATTCAAAAAGGGACATTTAGTAAATGGTATTGTAATCTAAATGAAAAATTTCACACACATTCTTGGGATGCCGTCTTAAAGGTACATTATGTAATGCTTGCCATTAGAGGGAGTTTGTTCACAACAAACAAAGATGTAGTTTGATGATGCGGTGGACTCATGAGAGTTGTCCTCATTACATTATACGGGTCTGCTGGAGAAGTATGATCATAGATGAGGTCAAGTATTTAAAACTTATTATCAGGGAACACATGAAGCAATGTAGTCTACAAGCTGTCAAAGCAATATGAGACCTCTGTAGAAATTGCTGATGAGAGATAAGCATGACGTGTCACAAAAGCAGCAGACCTTTTATTACGTTACAGTCCACCACTTATGGTTCTTCCAGTAGTGATCATTTTGGGTAAAAAGCAGGGCTGTTTTATACTAAAAAACTATTTTAAAGCTCTTAAAATTAAAATTCACATAACAAATTAAAAGCACTTTTGGTGTTTCCCTGATTTATATAAAACCAAAGTGAAAGCTGAGGGTGCATGACATTATTAGCATGGTGACAGCCCACGGTCCGCTCGCTCATTAAAATTGCTGGACTTGAACATTATTTGAAATGTTTGGGATAATAAAGGTTAAGTACATAACTCATCAAAATATATAACAAAAATTTTGTGGTTCATGAAAATGTAATACTTGATGCTTACATATTTTGCCTTTAAACTAAACAGTATAATTACTTATAAATACGTATAAATACTTAGACAAAGTTTTGAACTCTGTACCTGACACCAGAATAATTAAGAGTTTCCCATCTTTTTCAAGCAGACTTCGAAAAAATGAAACAGTGGCATTTGGATCTTTGACATAGTACAGCATCTGTTAAAAAGATAAATAGTATTATTAAACAAACACAATACAAGATTTTTGGACATAATAGCATTGCTTTATTAATTATGTTTCTACTCTCTAAATGCATATTTTAATGAATAATGTATTCATGCATGCTTTTCTCTTTTTTTATCATCGTAATAGTCCTTTGCCACTATTTTCTGAAAATTTATTTCATTAAAATGCATGTCACATTATGGAAGACAAAAATCTGAAACAACAGCCCAAAACCTGTATCATGTGAATGAAGTCCATCTTTTTCTCAGGTGTTTTTTCTTGCCATTGTTTTTCAAATTCAGATGCTGTCATCTTATTCCATGTAAAGTTGATATAAGCAAGATCGGGAGATGTTGACACTCTCGCTAAAGAAAAAGAATAGAAGAAAAACAACACAAAAAAAAACATTTTTTTATAGGTTGCAGTGTTGTCACAATGCTTGAATTTCTAACTTTTATTAGATATCTAAATTATATTCAATACCATTTTACATACAGTGGGTAGAATTTAACTGGCATTTAAACTGTCAAAATAATAATAAAAAAAATAAAACAAATGTAACACCCATGTAACATATTACAGAAAAAAAATTATGATCCTAATTTTTTAAAAAGTTCAAACCATATTGAAGATAACACTAACAAATAAACAAGATATATTTAGATAATAAATTGAAAAAAAAGTTAATTAATTAATTTATTAATTCATTCATTCTTGGCTTAGCCCCTTTGTTAATTTGGGGTCACCACAGTGGAATGAACCACCAACTTATCCAGCACGTTTTTACACACCGGATGCCCTTCCAGCCACAACCCATCTCTGGGAACTGACAAAAACATATTTTTAAATTTTTTTTTTTTTATGTTATTCTGATAGAACCAACAGTTATTTTTCTTTAACCAGTAATGCTATTTGTTGTTTAACAATGTCAGGTTTATTTAAGCTGCTGTCACAATAAGACTTAATGCAAACATGCGAAGTATAATGATACACATCCAGTTTCTATATCAATATACTATATTGAATGCGTGCATTCTATTTACAGGCTGATTTTTCAAGGATACTCACTTTGGAGTACACAGTATAAATCAGTTCAAGCATATGAAAAAGAACTCAATTTAGCATATAAACAGAGCCCAATTGAGCAGCTTAAAACTTTTTTATTAACCGGTACCTTTATACTTGTAGAGCATGTCATTACTTGGTTCCACCACTTCATTGTCGACTTTGACATGTGGATGTTTCAGGTGCAGCTGTGCTAGCATCTCTAGATCAATATCACCTGGAAAAGAGATGAATATAGATGCCTGAGAACTCTGTTAGGTATTAAAATATATAATATAATAATATAAAAGGAATGTTAATAACTGTTGTTATGAAAAGCATACCTGCTCCGCTCCCCACTCCCATTACATTGAAAACAGATCTCCCTCCACCAATGCTGCGGAGACAGCGAGAGAGAACATAATAAAGCCGAGATAATATTATAATATCTTGTCATTGTTAAATCTGCTGGCACATTCTGTATTACAAAGCTAGGACAGGCTAAATGAATAAAATATGACATTCATCAAGAGAGATGAAGCACCTTGCCAGAATGTCGGGGAGCGTATTATGAATGAAGTCCTGCATGCACTGGTGCTCTGATGAGCGCTCAAGAAAGAGCTCGAATGATTTGAGGTATCTGGGATAATCTTCCACAAGTGTTTTGAATGGAGCTGCCATGGTTTCCACTGGCTGAAATAGATGACCTGTGCTTTACAATGATAAAATTAGTTACGAGTATTATTTAAATGAACACAGAAGAAGAAATGAAGAGTTCAGATGGAAAATCCTCTAAGTGTCGTCTGATTTGTTCTTCTAAAATGGGATTTTTATTTATTTTTTAATTCGGAAGAATATATGTTTTCATTGTCTTTACAGTAACTGAACATAAACATAGGAGGTTGAAAGAGGTTAAAAACAAAAACCAAAGTGTGTCTAAAATTTGCATCTGAGCTCATCACATTTTGAGAAATATTTACTATTACAGTGGTCATGATTTGCGAAAACAAACTTCCCTTTATTTTTTGACATAAGATGGTACTGTACTATAATAATTCTGTAAGTTTTGTAACTCAAATGATTGTTGTTAGCTCCAAATCAGCTTTGAATGAAAAAAATAAAATAAAATAAAAAAACGCTAGCAAAACAGCTAGTTTAATTTTCCCCTCATGTAAAACCCTTGTTAATGTTAAAAGTAGACCTTGGAGATCACTATGAAAACAATGCACTTCAGTTGATGACCCCATTTAAAGTCAACGGTCACGAATGATGGCCAACATTCTTCAAAACATCTTCCTTTATGTTAGGAAAAAAAGGTTGCGTGTTATGTTTTGTTTTAAGCATTTTGGCTGTCCACTTCAATTATCTACTACACTTCCATGTAGTCTGTAACACAGCTCTAAGTGAATTAAAACATACAGCTGACGTTTAAATCTTGAAGATTCATTCCATTCAATTAATCTATTTCTATAGCGCTTTTACAATGTAGATTGTGTTAAAGCAGTTTAAAGTAGAAGTTTGAGTAAATTGAAATTGAAACTGTGTCAGTCCAGTTTCAAGAGTTGAAGTTCAGTTAGTTCAGTTCAGTGCACTGCAAAAAATGCTTTTCTTGCTTAGATTTTTTGTCTTGTTTCTAATATGCCAATATTAAGAAATAATATGCCAATATTAAGTGAGTTTTTCCTTAAAAATAAGCAAAATAATCTGCCAATGGGGTAAGCAAAATGATCTTACATCAAAAGAAAAAACAAGATTATTTTGCTTACCCCATTGGCAGATTATTTTGCTTATTTAAAGGTAAAACTCACTTAATATTGGCATATTATTTCTCAAAACGAGACAATGTGTTTTGCTTGTCTAGGAAATTCTTCTTGATTTAGCAATTTTTAGATATTTAGACTAGAAACAAGACAAAAAATCTAAGCAAGAAAAGCATTTTTTGCAGTGTGTGGTTTAATTTTCACTGCTGAAAGTCCAAACACTGAAGAGCAAATCCATGTGCAGCTCCACAAACCCAAACCAAGCAAGACAGTGGGAACAGTGGTGAGGAACCAAACTTTACCAATAATTTTAATAAATACAATTTTTTTTTTTTTAGAAACATTTAAAACATTTTGGCTTTTTTATTTAAACATGTCAGTTTAAACATTTTAAATAAATAACTCACTATCTTTAGTTTCAAAAACACAGATTTCATAACTCGAAAAGGCATCTTTGTTCTTTTCTTTAGATATAAAGTAAAGCCACTGCACTGTTTAGGCATGTTTGTATGTTGGTGTATAAGTGACTTTTTCAGACAATTGCTGAATCGTTAGCTGACCAGTAGTTTTGGATTTGGAGGGTCCTTTTGCTCTAGATGGCCTATTTTGGCACAATGGAACTTGAGTTTTTCCTAAATGCACATCTCACATAAAATTTAACTTCTGTTTTCTACCTTTATTCCTGATATAAATTACTTTTCACATATGATACGAGAGTGATGAAGACTTGTAGCTAAAGTTTGTTGAAGCTATAGAGTGATGACTCGGGACTTGACTCGGGACTTGACTCGAGACTTGCTTGTGACTTGCAAAACAACAACTTGGTCTCTCGTATGTTCTAGCACGAACAAACAATAAACAATTACAATGATTGCGGTATTTATTTGTATATTTACCGTTAGTTAATAAAAAAAAACAAGTTTGTTCATTGTTAGTTCATGTTAATTCACGGTGCATTATGTTAACATACATGAAATTTAGCTTTAGTAAATGTTGTGTGATTATTAATAAATGCTGTACATGTATTGCTTATTATTAGTTCATGTTATTAGGCACATTAAGAAAACTTATTGTAAACTGTAAACAAATTAATATTACATTCAACAGTTATTGTTGCATTGAAAATGTCAGCTCGATCAATAGCACGAAACGCCATCCAATTAAACCTGCTGCATTTGTCAGACTGAAACGTAATCTCAGCTGTAGTAGCCTATGTATACGTCGTGCGTCACATTTAAAATGATGATAAACGATTATCCATCAACAGGTCCATTGACAGCGTGACACATGATCTTTTTTTAACAACTGTAGGATAATTTTTAACTCTAGGTGAATGACCGTGAATGTGCACCGCCGCTTCTGTACAGCAGCGGTTCACAAGAACGCGGAGGAAACAGAAGAACAGCTGCTTACCTCTTCTCCGTTAACACACACTGCCTGTGATGATGATGTGTGGGCCGCCGCACATGACATGAAGACAGAAATGTAGCCACGCCCATCACAGAGTCTCCGCCTACACCCTTAAAGACGAAGGACCACACAAGAAGTTCAAGTGAAGATCCTTTTAAAACTATTACAGTTTCAAAGGAGGGGAATCGTTTGGAATTCAGTGATGCACATTCACTTTAATCTGTCCATTTACCTGTGTCTAGGATTTCAACTCGAATACTCAAGTTGGCTTTTTCTAATTTGTTTAAATGATTAAAGCATAAATTATAATAATTTAATAATAATAATAATAATAATGATAATAATAATTAATACATAATAATAACAAACATTTCACATCTTCCCATAGATTTTCAACCAACACAGTAACAGAAAATGACAAAGCTCATTGCTGCTCTCCAGTGTTCATCTTTGAAATTTCACTTCAGAAAATAAATATGTGTGACATTTGTGACAAAAAGTATTTTAGAAATTCTCAAACAGTGCTTTTTACTGACTGAGATGGTCAATCAACCTGAAGTTATAGTGCTCGAACAAAATAAATGGCGGACAGGACAGCAACTTCAGCAATTTCACTTTTAAATTTTGTATTGTGGTTATGTGTTCTCAGTTTCATAAGCATTTAAGTAGGCTAGTCTAAGTTGAAAGACATTTTGATCTAAATATATTGCCAATTCACCTGTAGCCAATACACCACGACGTGTTAACACATTGTTATGAAGCCAATATGAATAGGCCAACTCAAATTCATGTTACAGAAACACAGTAGGCTATATTTTTATAGGCCATATAATCAGACCCGTAGGCAGCGGGGTTCTGGGGACAAGAATTTGTCCCATACTTACAGTTGAAACCAAAAGTTTACATACACTGTATAAAAGGCATATAACCATTAAAAAAATATTTTGGGTAAATTAGGATTACCAAATTTGTCTCTGTTATGCTTAATAGCACAATAATGGGAGATAATTTTTTTAAAAATATTGTTTTAACGTTTCTTGAAAGTCAAAAGTTTACATACAATAAGATTATTATGCTTCTGAAAAAGCCCAGATGATGGTGTCAAGTTTTTGGAAGTTTCTGGTTGGAATTGACAACATTTGAGTTAATTGGAGGCTCAACTGTTGAATAGTATTTAAGGAAAACCTCTAACACACTGCTTCCTTGTGTGAAAACATGGGAAAATCAACAAGCCAGAATCATCAACATCATCAACAACAACAACAACAACAACAACAACAACAACAACAACAACAACAACAACAACAACAACAACAAAAGCCAGATTACAGTTTGCTGAATTACACTGGAAAAAAATAATCATTTTTGGAGACATGTCCTGTGGTCTGATGGAACTAATATCGAACTTTGTCTATAATGACCAGTGTTACATTTGGAGAACAAATGGGGAAGCTTAAAAGCCCAGCAACACCATCCCAACTGTAAATTATGGGGGCGGAAGCATCATGTTGTGGCTGTTTTGCTGCAGGAGGGACTGGTCCACGTCACAGCATAGAGGGTATCATGAAAAAAGAACATTATGTAGAAATACTGAAGCAACATCTCAAGACATCAGCCAGGATATTAAAACTTGGCCACAAATGGGTCTTCCAAACAGACCATCACCCTAAGCATACTGCAAAATTTGTTAAAATGTGCTTTTAGGACAACAGAGTGAATGTTTTGGAGTGGCCATCACAAAGCCCTGACTTCAATCCTATAGAAAATTTTTGGGAAGAGTTGAAAAAGCTTGTGCGAGCAAGACAGCCAACAGATCTGACTCAGTTACACCAATTCTATCAGGAGGAATGGGCTAAAATTCCTTCAAATTATTGTGAGACGCTTGTGGAAGGATAGTAAAAACATTTGACCAAAGTTTTATAGTTTAAATGCAAAGCTAAAAAAAATACCAAGGAAATGTAAGTAAACTTTTGACTGTCAAGAAATTAATAAAAATTCTCAAAAACAAAATTAATAAATAAATAAATAATAATAAATTAAAATAAATAATAATAATAATTCTCTCATTATTCTGGCATTTACCAAATGTGACCGATTTAGGTAATCCTAACAGTCCCAACATAGTAAACGTTTAGTATGATTTACCATCAGACATTAAAAAAAAAAAAAAAAGGTTATGTTCCTTTTTTAGAGTGTATGTAAACTTCTGGTTTCAACTGTAAGCTCAGTTGTCCTATTTTGACTGCTATGCCACATAGATTATGAAAAAAGCCTATTGACTTCCATGTGACTTCACATAATTAGTTTTGACCAATGCAAACAATTATTTTTTTCCAAGCAACATCGAGAGCTGTTCAAGAAAACATACAATCTGACCTGAAGTCATCTTTCAATACTGACCTACTCTATTGTTTTTAAATAGAGAAAATATTTTACAAACATATTTTATTCTAAATCTTGGACTTTATTTCTTGAAACAAAAAATTACCAATAAAAAGTGGTATGTTTTGGTAAATATTTTGGTATGTTAAAAGGTGTGGTTATGATGACCAGCCAACAAACTAATTCACCTAAAAATAGTGTCGTAATAATGTCAGTAAAACGCAACCTACTTAAAAGTTCATAATTAAATCAAAAATGAGGCAAACAACTGCAAAAAGGTCCACTTTTAGAGAGAAAAGACCCACCTCTTTCACCAGGCTGCCTACGGGCCTGATAATGAATGCTCAAATGACACAACAAGAAAATAGGTATTTTTATGGGAATGGTCTTTTTATTATTATTTTAAATTATTTTACTATTATTTTAGCTAGGTACAGACATCACCTACATGTTCAGTAGATCAGTTTGGCGTTTAAATGAACATTAATGTAACTATTATCTGTCTTGGTCTAACCCCAAACAAATAACAAAAGAGAACAGGAAAAAAATGAAATAATGTATGCGTAATCTGCCTTTTACATTCTCTTTATTACAAGATTTAAAGTGATTTTCTCACTTCTCCTCAGTCAGTTTGATTGTGTCAAACTTTGTTAAACAGATCTGCCTACTGCTGAATGGAAATTCTTGATTAAAATGAGAGAAGCCAGAGATTTATGGGAAATCTTCTGCAGAATTATTAAAGCTTAATGGAAAAATTAAGCCTGACAGAATCACACCACCCAGACACGTGTCCCCTAGGTGGCACTGACAAGTCTAGTTAAATTCAGCTCATCCTTGAACAGAAGTGACAGGCTTTACTAATAAAAACTGATTAAACAAAGATTTAAACGATTCAACATCCTAGAGTGAAAGGTTCTGATGGGCTGCACGCTGAACACATTCAGTGCCATGTGATGATGGGCAGATCAGAACATTCAGTTTACTGCAGTGCTATAAAAATATGCCTAGTATGCTGTTGTTTTGTTCACGTTTTGTTTCCAATATGTCTGTTTCTGACAGTGTCTTTCATCATTTAAGATGGTATTTAATATGGTTTATGAGCAAAATCATACACACACACGCGCACACACACACACACACACACACACACACACACACACACACACACACACACACACACGCACACACACACACGCACATACACAAGCACACACACAAGCACACAAGCACACACACATATACAGTATACAGTTGAAGTCAGAATTATTGGCCCCCCTGGATTATTAGCCCCTCTGTTTATTTTTTTCCTCAATTTATGTTTTACGAAGAGAATATTTAATTAACACATTTCTGATCATATTAGTTTAAATAACTTATTTCCAATAACTGATTTATTTTATCTTTGCCATGATGACAGTACATAATATTTGACTAGATATTTTTCAAGACACTTCTATACAGCTTAAAGTTACATTTAAAGGCTTAACTAGGTTAATTAGGTTAAGCAGGTTAGGGTAATTAGGCAAGTTATAAGTTAAGCAACTGCTTTTATTCTAGCTGAAATAAAACAAACAAGACTTTCTCCAGAAAATTGTATGTGTATATATATAATTATAATATAATTATATTATATAATTATAATATAATTATTAGCCTAATAATAATCTGGGTTAATCATTTAATTCAAGTGAAAAAGAGTGCAAAAATAACCTGTAAATCCCTAATTTTAATACCTTCCTCACACTTATGGATCACTCACAGTGAGTCAAAACATTGCAGGCCTGTTCAGTACCTCAAATTTCTCACAGTCTTTCCACACAAATAATTCACACAAAAGCATCAAATAATCCATAATTTTATTCTAATTATTCTTTTTCTCTTTTTAATTTTCCATTCAAAAGTGCTCTATGGTGCGTCATACTTTATCATTTAACTTAGAATTGTCACGATATTGTCTTGTAAATGTCATTTAAGATCAATTCAATTTCAATGAAGAACAATGCTTTTGGATTTGAAAACTATTTCTTTACAATACAATAAAACTTGCTAAATTGGCTCCTGTGTGAACCAATGGCTGTCAGTTTTGATCACAGACAACATTAAAGCTAACTTAGTCCTAATTTCAGGCTTGAAGACAGCCTTGTGAAATGGGCATTTCTTTTTTTCTCTAAAAGTGGACCCTTTTGCAGTTTTTCGCCTCATTTAATTTTGAGATTTAAATACTGCAATTTAGTGACATTTTAAGCACTTTTTTGCTGGATAAGCTCGTCGGATGGTCAAACTTTTTGATATAATAAAGAAATATGAAGAGGGTCCTTATTTTTTAGGCTACATTACACTAAGAAAAAAAAAAAAACAAAAAAAAAAAACGGTGCAATGTTGTACCAAAGAAGGTAAACCCTTGTCACTGGTCCTGTCCCTTTTTATGGAACAGAATTGTACCTTAAGGAAACAAACTTGTACCAGTGCAGTTTGTACCGATAGGGACATGATGTACCATGGGAAATTCTTCATCAAAGTTTCCGACTACAGTGAGAAGACACTTACCTTAACAATGTCAAATGTGTTCTTTCAAGAACTATTTAAAGGCATTATGCTACTGTATATCCAAAATGTGTCAATTTATTTTCAGCAAATATAACAAACCAAACTTAG